CCAAGGACCCCCACCCCTCCATGGCCTTCTGCATCCCCAGCCCAAGTGCATTCCTAAAGCTGTGCCCACCCAGGCCGCACCTCCTGCCGGCTGGCTCAGGGCTGCCTGCCCTTTGCAGCAAAGAGCAGCCTCAGCGTTTTCCCACTCCTGCTGCTTGCCTTTTTGTTCCTTTGTCCATCACCTGACAATGGGGGGGGGGGGGGGAAAGGAGGGGGAGGGGCAGGGCTGCTGCTGCTGGGCACTTTCCCAGGATCTGTCCTCTGCTTGGGATGCTGGAGCTACTTCTTCCCCTCTTGCGCGCTCCTCTCTTCCTGCTCTGGGTCCCTTATCTCTTTCACTGATCATTAAAACATAAGCTGCCCTTGCTGGCTCTGTCTGCTTAGCCAGCAGCCCAGCTGTGTGGGGATTTCCCTTCCCTGATCTTGCTGTGGATGAGGAACTGAGCCATGGGTTGACCTCTGAGCAGAGACAGAAAAGGAGCAGGACATGCCCATGAGGAAGGCATCTCTTTAGTGCCTCGTGCCTCCTCACTGTTCTCACCTTAAAAATAGAGCAGAACTTCTCTTCTGGGTGCGTACCCCAAAGAATTGAAAACAGGGGCTCAGATACCTGTAGACCCATGTTCACAGCAGCTATTCACAGTAGCCAAAGGTGGAAAGAACCCAAATGTCCATTGGTGGATGAATGGATAAACAAATGTGGTCTATATATACAATATACATACAATTATATTACAGTGTATTATTCAGCCATGAAAAGGCATGAAATTTTGACACATGCTACAACGTGAGTGAATCTTGAAAATATTATGCTAAGTGAAATAAGCTAATCACAAAAGAACAAATATTGTTTGATTCCACTTGTATGAGGAACCCAGAATAGGCAAATTCATAGAGACAGAAGACAGGGTAGCGATTGCCAGGAGCTGAGATAAGGAGAATGAGGAATTGCTTAATGGCACAAAGTTTCTGTTTGGGATGATGAAAAGGTTCTGGAAATAGATAGTGATGATGCTTACATAACACTGTGAATGTACTTAATGCCACTGAAGTGTACACTTAAAAATGGTTGCAATAGTACGTTTTATGGATATTGCATCACAGTAATTAAAAAAAAAATGGGGACGTGAGTACCTGACTGAACTTTCAGCCTGATAGCAGAGGAGATGGATGGTGTGGACAGCATCCTCTTCCTCTCTCTCCTCCCTCTTCTCTGGGCTTTTCTGCTGAAGGAGGGGCTTTTCAGCTGCTAGAATGTACAATGAGCCCAAGTCATATGGCCTGGTTCCCCCCTGACCAGGGAAAGCAGAGTTCCTGGAAGTACCACCAAAACAGGAGTCCCTGGGGAGGGTGACATGAGAGGGAGAGTCAGGCAAAGGGGTGTATGGATCTGGACACCACTGTGGGCAGCTGGGCTCAGTCCACTGGGACCCACTGAGGAACCATGGAGCACGCTCCTCAGTTGTCAGCTAAGAGACCAAGGGGTATTTTTCCTGGTCAAGGGCTGCTCCAGGGGCTGTTAGCATCTCCCACTTCTAGGTGTTGGTACCAGGTGCCACGTGGGTCCTGCAGGTATCTGCTGGCATGTGTCAGAGGAGCCCCGGGCAGCTGAGGTGAGGTGCTATTAGGTTACCCCACGTGAATCTGATCGGGCAGTAGTGACTGGAGCAGGAGGGGGGCCAAGTGGTGGTGAGGACACGGGCGGCATCCAAGACAAGTGACCAGTGTGGGGAGTCCTCTTTTTCCCTCTGGGCATCAAATTCTGCAGGGTGGGAATGGGTCTCAATGACTGTCCCTTTCCTTAGTGAGCCAGTGTGTGTTTAGGATGATTACTGACCCCAGGTGCCCTTCCAGCACTATGGTGGGGGCCTGTGAAAGACCCGTGAGAGCTGGCAGAGTCAGCAGGGCAGGACAGAGCTGCTCCTGCAGGCAGAGCTGGGCACTCCATCCTCCTGGAAACACTCCTGTCTAGTTCCTGCAAAACCCAGTCCTCCTCCTGTACCTGTGAAGTGTGCCAGGAAGCCCTAGATAAGATCTTAAGTATTCGAGGAACAATGGGTGAGGCCTTAAGCCATGGCTTTTCATGCAGGCAGCTCCCTTTTCAGCACTCGCTGGGCGTCAGCCTTATCATCCCATCCTGCAGAGGCCAGCCGCCTACTCACACTCTGGCACTGAGCTAGGCCCTGGGGCCCAGCCCTCCAGAACCCCCAGTCTAGGTGGGGAGTAAGCGGTTGAAGGTGGGCATTGGCAGGGCCATGGGGAATGGAGAAGTGGGTGATGCCCTGAGGGGCTGAGCAGGCTGCCAGGAGGTAGGATGAAGAGTCAGTGGGGTGTAGGTGGACTTGGAGCTCTGCTGTGCAAACTTGGGCAAGTTACTTAGCCTCTCTGAACCTCAGTTTTCTCTCCTAAGTAGTATGATCATGCTGATTTCCTAGAGTTAATGTGAGGGCTGAGCAGGAATGGCATTTCAAGTGCTGACAAGAATGCGTAGCACATGATTCGGGAGCAGTACACATTAGCCATTCCTATTAGTAGTAGAAGTTGCAGTATTCATACCCATAGGCCAAGGCAGGTGAATGCTTTACCCATTAGCCCTCATGAAACCAAGTCATTGTGCTAGTTGCCAGATGGCCTCTGAGGTGAGTTCTAGCATTCCATGAGCATAAGGACCTTTAGATTTGGTAGTTGGAGCGAAGGGGAATAATATGAGCAAAAGCATAGAGGCAGAAAGAGCATCATGTGTGACTTCTCTACGGCTGTGCAACAAATTATTACAAACTTAGAGACTTAAAACAATACCTGTTTATTGTCTCACAGTTCTAGAAGTCAGAAGTCTGGCTTAATATATCATGAGGCTGAAATAAAGGTATTGGGTAGGCTGTGTTCTTATCTGGACGTTCTGGGGGACAAAATCTGCTCATTGATGGTTGGCAGAATTAGCTTCCTTACAGTTCTAGGCCTGAGGTGCCCTTTCCCGTGTTGGTCATTGACCAGGGATTGCTGTGGTGTTCCTTGCACACGCTGCCTCCTTCTTCGAGCTAGCAGCAGCACATCGAGTCTTTCTTATGCTTTGAATTTGTCTCTGCCTCCAGCGCCAGATTTAGGAGCTTTGTGTGACTGGATCAGACCCTCCTGAATAGTCTCCCTATCTTAAGGCCCACTGATTTGGAGTTTAATTATATTTGCAAAATCCCTTCACAGAAGTATCTTGGTTAGTGTTTGACTGAGTAGCTGGAAGGTATACACCCAATACCCTCCTAGGGTTCTGTCTGCCACACATGGCATGTGTCCGGGACAAGTTGCAGGGTAGCCAGGGGCTGGATGGGGGTACAGGCTGCCATTGGAGCAGGAGGGGTAAGGTGGGTGTTGGTGGTGGGATGGTTGTAAGGCTACTGTAGGCCTTGAATGGCAGGTGGAGGAAGGGGCATTGGACACCTCCAGCCCCACCCCCGACTGGCCCTGCACCACGAGGCACACTGATCCCAGTATGAGCTGCTCACAGTCTTGCTGCTGCCCAGCCTCCACAGCTGGGTTCCCTCACTCTGACGAGGGCACCAGGTCTGAAACCTCAGACTCCTCCCTGGGGATGGGTGGACACGTCTATGAGCCCAAGGCCACTGAGCTCAGGAGCTCAGAGCTAGCCCCCTAGAGTACTACACAGCCCCCCTGCAGCTAGCCTGGGGTGCAAGGGAGGCTGGCCTCTTGCAGCAGAAACCATCAAGAAAACAATTAAAGAATGTTGCATCTACTAGGACAGTTCTCTGCAATCGCCAACACCAGCCTCTGAAAGGCCGGTGAGGGTCTGGGGGGCGTCAGCTTTTACCATCTCAGAAGGATTTTTAGAATCCAGAGGACCATTCCTTGCCCTGTTTTGGATCCATTACAGTTAAAAACTCAACAAACACTTGATTGGTACATAACTGTATTCCAGAGAAGTTCTCAGTAATCCAAGGCCTCAAAATTCTGATTTCCTTTAAACATACTAGGACCTTGCCTCTATCGTCAGCAGTGACATTCCAGGAGCACACAGCCCGATGTGGTCTCAGAGCGCTGTGCCTACGTTCCTCAGGTCTTGTGTGCATCTGGAATGGTGGTGGTTTGGAAGACTGTTCTATGAGCTCTGACAGCGAAACCGTGTGCAGTCTGCCCTCTCCAGCTGTGTGGGCTCCCCGTGGAGATCATCAATCTCCAAATAATGAAAGGGACACCAGATAAGCTTTAGTGGGTCTCCCAGGAATGCAGATTATGCCAGGCCACCCCAGAGAGAGGGCCTAAGCGCTTGTGCAGAAGTCAGGCTACTTTGGAGGGTGGCCACACAGCATCTGTGGCCAGGCCATACCCTCCCAGACAACCTGCCAGGCCTTCCATGTTCTATCATGAAAAGCCAGTCATGTTCCTACAGACTGAGCATAGCATGTGTCCCAGTAGCCATGCCATAACAAGGGTGTAAAATCATGCTTATAACTTAAGACCTACAGGCTTTGCCTAACTTATGGGATTCTGGTGTCCAAAGAGAAAACATCTTTTTAGAAGGAGGCTTTTCCTTAGAGGGCCCAGGCTCCTTAGAGGCTTGTATCTGGAGACTCCTCCCTTATCCCAATACCTGGGTCAGAGACATCAAAGCCTGTAGTCTGTTGATTCTGCTTTGTGGCAGATTTTGTTAACTCCAAGTTGGAAAGTGGAGGTTGGGTGGAGGCTTTTTCCTTCTGCTTTTTTCCAAGTGGTAAGGTCTAGGTACAGACTCATGCCCAACATCACACAAGTTACCATGTTGGCCAGTTAGGCAAGTTACCTGCCTTCTCTGGGCCTCAGTTTCCCTCCCTACGCAGGGGGAATTGCAGCATATTCGTCACACTAAAGGCAATCCAGCCTCACATCAGCATGTCAGGGATGCCGGGAGAATAAGAGAATGCTACCAGGAGCAGGGACTATATCCCAAGTGGAGGCATCCTCTCTGCCTCCAGTCATGTCTCACAGAGTCCTTCTGTTCTGTCTCCACAGCCCCAACCCAGGCCTCTGAGCTGGAGGGATGGAGAACTCCTCGGCAGCATCGGCCTCCTCTGAGGCAGGGAGCAGCCGCTCCCAGGAGATCGAGGAGCTCGAGCGGTTTATTGACAGCTATGTACTCGAGTACCAGGTGCAGGGGCTGCTGGCTGACAAAACGGAGGGCGACGGAGAAAGTGAGCAGACGCAGTCCCACATCTCCCAGGTGAGCACTGGCCCAGGAGGGAGGTGGGGAGAGAAGCCCAGCCTGGGCAGGTACAGGGCCTTAGTAAACTTCAAGCAGGTAATAAGGGGACCCAAATTCCAAATAGAGCCTGGGTGCCTGGCCCTAGATTGCCACAGTGCAGACGGTCCCACCCAGCAGAGCATGGGATCCAGGCAGGAAGCCCCTGGCTGTGTGCTCTCAGCTCCTCCACTCCCTTCTCCCCCACTGGGCAGCTGGGGCCTAACCAGACTCAGAAGTCATGTAACACATTTATTGAGCACCTACTGTGTGCTCAGTACTGTTCCCTGTCCTCTAGGTTTATGTTCTAGAAGAGGTCTGGAGATAGTAGCTTGCCCAGAAGACATATACAGTCAAAAGGCTGTGCCTTATGGATCGAATACCGGCCCTTGCTGGCAGCCAAAGAGTTGCTTCTCTCAGGCGACTCACCCAGGGGTCTGTGTGCCAGACCTAGTGAGGTGCATGAGTGTTTTGACCAGATCTCAGGTTGCTCTCACCCCATCCTGCGTCAGCATGTGGCAGCCTGGCCTTGGGTGGGAGGTAGACTCGTCTGGAAGACTGGTCAGAGATGTGGGCGTCTTGAGTTCTCCAGATTAGAGTATGAGCCATTAAGGACAGTGACTGTACCATGTGCATCTCAGCTAACACTGTAAATCCTCAGTAGATATTTGTGTAAGGGTTGGTTCTAGATTTGCTTCTAGCTGCCTGTGTGACTTTGGGCAAACACCTCAACTTCTCTGAGGCTTGGTTTTCTTATCTGGTGAATGGGCCTTTTCCTGTTGCCTAAGGAAGGTCGGGAGGTCAAAGGTGATGAGAAGCTCAAAAGCCCCAGAAAAGCAGGGTGTTGCCTGCATGTGGGACACAGGGAGGGTCTCTTCTCCTCCTGTTCAGGGTCTGGGTCCCAGGTGACCACCTCTTGCGCTTGCTGTCCCGCCTCAAGCAGGAACTCCTCTGACAAGTAGAGGAAGCCACTTGGTGCCTTGCTTTGGAGAAAAGCTGGATGAAGCTTCACCCAAGAAGAATGCTTTGTGAATGGTAGAATGTTCCCAGAGCAGCCATGGGGAGATGATTTTGGAAGGAGGGGCTTCCCCGTGCCTCTGACTTGCCTGTAGTGATTGATGAGCTCTCAGGGTGGAGAGCAGACAGAGACATGCCCTCAGTCTGGGCCCTGCCCTTCTGGCTCCTGCACCTGGCCTGACCATGCGTGGATGCCCATATCTGGAGGGACTTTTAAACAGATGTCTGTTGTAAAACAGAGTGTGGAAAATACTGGATGCATTCCTTAAACTTTCTGTGTACTAAAAGAATGCAAACACCTGGCAGGATCCCTGGTTCCTCCTATGTGCTGTGCAGTCAGCAAAGGAAGGGACATTTAATCCTGCCTGCACCCTGCCACCCACCTCCAGATACCCACAAACACAGCTGGGGTACAGACTCCCTTGGGAGAGGAAGCTATGCATAACCCTAAGCAAGGCAGGGATTAGATGTGTCTGTGTAACAAACGTCTTTTTAAAATGCAATCTCTATTGATACAGATTCAGGGGAAAACTTTCTGCTAAAGCACTTCTGCTGGCTTTTATTGAGTTGGATGATTATTTTAAATGGAAGCCAAAAACACAAGCAAAACCCTCAGAGAATGTCTCCATCTTTCTGTCTGCGGTGGTGTTTTGATGTTTCTGGGAAAGAAAAATTGTTAAGAATCTTGGAAACCTTGAGAAAACTTGAGGGAGTGGAGAAGAATGTTGTTTTTCTGTTGCTGAGATCATGTTTTAGTATCTGAGAGATGACAGTTGACACTTAGAAAGAAAATACCTCATGAGGCTTATATAGCTATATTCCCTCTGGCCTCTTTCTGGCAACAGCTAGAAAGAAAGATGGGTGGAAGGAAGGAATGAACGAACGAACGAGATAGAGAAAGAGAGAAAGAAGGAAGAAAGAAGACTGATTGATCAATAGATACAAGCAAGTGAGCTTTCTTTTCTTTTCTTTTCATAAACAAGAGAATGTATATTCCAAGTCTCCCAACTCTTTAGGGATACCATATTAAAATTACACGCCCCCATCAACCACATGCACATTTTAGGCATGGATTGATTCCAGGGGATTCCAAGTGCCACATCCTGAAAGGGGTCCTCACTCTGTCCTTGGGAAGAGTGGAATCATAGCCCTATTCTGCAGGAGTGAAGACAGAGGCACAAAGATGATAAATGACCTCACTGTGCTGCTCAGTGGTGGCTGAGCAGGACCTTGGTGCCCCTGATGTTGTGGATGGTCTCTAGCCTTAAAGCAGTGCTCATGATTCTGGTCGCACATTGCAGTCACTGGGGAAGCTTAGCCAGGCCCCACCCCAGAGTTCAGGTGAACAGAGAGGGGCTGACTTGGCCATTTGCATCTCATAAGCCCCCATGTGACTCTGCTGTCCCACTGAGGTGGACAGCCACCACCGCAGGTGGGGCCTGTCTGTCCTGCTCCTCATCCCTCCACAGCACCTGCCTCTTGCTCCCCTCTCCCGGAAGGATAGAATGTAGGGACATTATAAAAAGCATATATATGTAAAGAAGGCATATTTTCCAATAAATTCTTGTTAACAGGTCAAATGAAGAACCAGTGAGGGTGAGGACAGCTTCCTTTAGGCCCTTCCGATGCTGCCAGGCATCTGGAAGTCCTGGGTTTTGTCTGAAATGTTAAGTGGCCTTACCGAGAGAGGTGCGGCCCTGCAGACAGGGAGAATGGGGGAAGAGTGCTCGGACTGGCGCGATGTCTCTCTCACAAGGTTCTCCCTTCTCTTTCTCTTCATGTTTTTCCTTTCGTTCTGCCTCCCTTTCACTGTTCCCTGATCCCCCTTTCATTCCATTCCTTCTTTCCTCCTGCCCTTTGAACCTGTTCCCTGCCATCTTTGCTCATAGGAGGAAGCGCTCAATGGCGGACCACCCCTGAGAGGCTTAACTGAAGAAGTGAGTTTAAGGGGAACTGTGGGGTGCTAAGCATGGGGCACTCATCTTATTAAATAATAATTTATTTTTCATTACACAAGTGCTATATGCATACGCTCTCATGGTACACAAAAATTCAAATATTAACAATAAAATCTGCCATCGCTACTGCCTCGGTAGCTAAGGCTACAAGATAGACTTTCTATAAATAGGATATGGAAGACCCTGGAAAAACAGCTTTGGGAGCAAAAGTCAAGAGTTCAGTATTTGGACATGAAAGGTTTCAAATAGTATGAGATGTCTTAGTGGAGATGTTGATCAAGTAGTTAGGCCTGCAAAGGTGGTGTTTGGAGAGGGGAATGATTCTGAGACTTTTATTATAAATAATAACACATAGATGGCATTTTAAGCCAAGGAGTGAGAGAGCCTGAAGAAAAAGGTCAAAGATTGATTCCTAAGAAGGTGGGACTAATAAAGGAGATCAAAACATGTCCATGTTAACTCATTAATTCTTCATAACAGTTCTATGAAAGAGATGTTGTTATCATTGCCAGAGAGGGCACTGAGGCACAGAGAGGTTGATTAAGCTGCCCAAAGTCATACAGCTAGTATGTGTCCAGGCTGAGGTTTGAACCAGGTGGTCTTGCTATAGTTGCCACACACATAACCTGTTACTGGTAGCTTCTGTTATTATTACAGGTGGGGGAGACTGAATCTTAAGGTGGTTTTAGAGGGTCTTAGGGAGTCTTAAGAAGTCACTACTTGCCAAGGTCATAGCATAAAGGATAGAGCAGAAATAGGAACTCAAGATTGGATTCACTGCTTCAAGAACTCAAGCTCCCAATCATGATATTATGCTGTCTCTACAGCAGAAGAGTTGTTTGGTTTTCTAATTTTTATTAAAAATAGGAGCAAAGGGCCTTCCTCTCTTAAATCCCAGTCCTTGGACAGCAGCCCCTCCCCATCATGCACTAGGTTGTCTGGAGTAAACCATGGATGGAGAGTGAGCAGCTAGCCCGGCTCTGGTGCCGCCTGCCCGTCTTCTTCCTCGTCTCCTGATCACTGAGACCATGTGCCCAGGATGAAGGAAGCAGTCGAACATGGCTCTGACTGTCAGGAACCCAAGTCCTGAGGCCCAGAGATCCTGCGCCTGGCCTCCGCACCTGGGTTCCGTGAGGCACGAGGAAGCCACGCCCCCGTCAGGTTCCTCACCGGGAAAGGAGGGCTTTGGGTGAGAGCAGCGGTTCTCACAGGACCTTCAGCTGGTGGTCCTGACACCTCCTTGATTAAAAACCCTGGAGAAGACGACTTTTTAAATGATTTTTCACTTTGAAATAATTTCACATGTACATAAAAATGAAAATAGTAGGACAAAGAATTCATTCCTGGATATCCTTCACCCAGATTCTCCAGTTGGTAGTATTTTACCACATTTGCTTTCTGTCTGTGTTTTCTCAATAGACAGATATATAGATAGATGGCTGCTATAAAGAGCGATATTTCTGATGTATCTGAGAGTAAGCTGCAGATACTATTTTATTCCCCTTTACTCCTAAATGCTTCAGTGCGTGTTTCCTGAGAACAGGGACATCTTCTTACATAATCACAGTACCAGACATAAACACTGATACAGCCTATAAACCTGATATTTCACCAGCTTTCCCAATAACATCCTTTATAGCAAAAAAATAAAAATTGTTGGTTCCTCAAAAAATTAAACATAGAATTACCATATGATCCAGCAATTCTTCTTCCAAGTATCCAAAAGAATTGAAAGCAAGGACTTGAACATATGCATGATGCTCAGAGCAGTAGCCATGTTTATTAGTCACAGTAGCCAAAAGGGGGAAACAACTCAAATGTTCATCAGTGGATGAATGAATAAACAGAATATGGAATATGCATACAATAGAATATTTTTGAAGCTTAAAGAAAGGAAATCCTATCACATTCTGAACAACATGGATGAACCTTGAACACTTTATGCAAAGTGAAATTAAACCAGACACAAAGATAAATACTGTATGATCTCACTTCTATGGGACACTTAGTCAAATTCATAGAGAATGAAAGTAGCATGGACATTATCAGGGACTAGGAGGAGGGGAAAATGGGGAGTTACTGTCTGATGGGGACAGTTTCAGTGATGACAAAATAGTTCTGGAAATGTGTGGTAGTGATGGGTGCACAACAATGTGAATGTACTTAATGCCGCTGAATTGTACACTTAAAAATGCTTAAAATGGTAAAAAGACATATTTTACCACCAGAAAATTCTGTTTCAGTGTCTTATCTAAGATCACACAGTGCATTCAATATCAGACATTTTTTATTGGCTCTTGGAATTAATTCCTTTTTCTGTTCTCCACTCATTCTGTCACTGTTTGGCTCTGTAAGTGTGGGTAAGTTACTTAGCCATGCTTTGCCTCCAATTCCGTATTTGCAAAGTGGGAATAATAAACGTGTCTTGATACCTATGACAGTGTTAATGTATGTAACAACAGTGCTAGATGACAATGAAATCTTATCTATTACTCTGGCCATTAATCCATTTTTACACATATGGCAAGTAGCCTCTCACTTGTCTTTAATTTTGATTATGATGTCTTTTGTCACACAGAAGTTTTAGATTTTGATGTCATTTAAAACTTGTGTCTGGGATTTTAATCGACTGGGAATGTGCTGTCCATGGATAGTGGGAAGCAGACATGGAGGGTGATTTTGTCCTCATTAGCTAGCTGGTTGTCTCGTCCCATGTTTATTGATGATCTCTCCTTTCCTCTAATTTGAAGCACTATCCTTATCATAAGCTAAGTTCCCCTTTGTATCTCTTTGTTCATGGATGCAGTTCAGTTTTATCCCTTTGTCTCCTCCTGTGCTGGTTCACCATGCTGGTGTGGCTCTAGCCTCATGATGTGCTGTGATCTCTGGAAGGGCAAGCCCTGGGGAACCTCAATACCATTGGAAAGTGGGGTGGTTTGTGTTTAGCACCTCCAGCCTCCCCTACTGTATGCTTTCCCTCCCTCAATGCTCAGCATCTCTCCCCTGCCCTTTATCAAGTCTGCACCTAAAATGCTGTCCATCCATTAAAAAATGAATTTTAATTGTTTTTATGAAATAATTTAAATGTACTGATAAGAGCAGATAATAATAGAATAACCATCTCTTTTGAGTACAGAATAAATATCTGTACTCCCTTGTTTCTTAAATCTTAACCCTGAGCCATCTTTGTTTCAGATTTTTAAATTAAGAAATAAATTAGAGCACTATGGTGGAGGCCCAAAACCACTCTCATGGACTTGGTGTTCGTCATTCCCATACATAAAAATTTCCCACTTTTCCTGCCTCTGTTGAATGACCTTTTCAGGAGGATGCCACGATTACCCACAGAGGACTTGATCCTCACTGTAAACTAACTTACGCTGAAAGAGAAAGGTTGTATGCGCCTGGGGGTGAGGCAGAGAAGGGTTTTCCCAGGGTGAGAGCCCTTCTCTTGTTCTGGAATCATCTCATACAGATAAGGACAGGTTCTCGGAAGGTCTGTGTCTGGAGATTTTTCTGAAGCAAAGGGGAGGCACTGTGATCGCTGTAATCTAAGAAGAAAGAAGGCAACCTTGCTGAGAGCAGAATCCCAGCAGAGGTGGGGAGGGGCTTCGAGTGGAAAGGGAGAGCTCCCAGGGAGCTTTCGGGCCGGAAGAAACACTTCCCTACTGAAGGTGATCAGGCTGCAGCTGGAGAGAGGAAGTCCCTGAGGCTGCTGCTTGGCTAGGGGTGGAGGTGAGGACCCACAAGCCTCGGGCACAGCTCGTGGGATAAGCCCAGTGATTTGCACTTACTCTTCCCCTGGGGGTCATGAAAGCCCTACATGGCTGGACCACAGTCCCTCCTCCACCGCAGGTATCCAGTCCTGGCTGGGTCTCTGGGGTGGGTTTCTGCGGACTTTACCATCTTGCTTGCTCTCCTGCATAGACAGCTAGCTACCTGTCCGTACCATGCTGTCAGACCCACTTTGCCATTTCCATCTCTGCCTCCGCTTCCAGTGGCAGCCTGAATGTGGGACTCGAGCGTCCTGACCTGCTTCCCCCCAGGACAGTTCAGCCTCCCCTAACACAGCTCTAAGGATGCGGTGCTAAGAGGGTTGCCCACCTCTTCTGACCTTTCTACCCAGGAAAGGTCCCTGCCTTGGTTGGAGAGTCGTGCTTGCCATGATCTGCCCTTAAGGTGGCCCACGTTCCACAGCCTTTGTCCATGCATGGGCTTGCTGTTCTCCAGGAATCCTGGCTTGGCCATTTTCCTAACCTGTGCTCCTGCAGAGAGCACACCCTTCCGTCTCTCACCCTCACCCTCCACCTCGCATTACCGTTACTGGACACCTCTCCTCGCCCATGGAGGAAGGAGCTTGTTGTGCAGCCTACACCGAAAGCGTACAGGAAATGGCCTTTGGTGGCAGATGGAAAGCTAAGGATGACTTTGACAAAGCAGAGCGGTCTCGTCGGAGCTTGGAACTGCTCTTGGAATGCCTAACCTGGGGGCTGAGGTTGCATCTGGCTGTGCAGGAAGCCTCCATCATTTCTGTGCTTGTCAGGAGGAAGCATCTGGGCTCTGCAGCCCCGCCCTGCCAGGGACCATGCTGACCCAGAGGAGGTGCACCCACCCACAAGTCATCTCATCCTTCGATGACATGTCACATCAGAGCTATGCAACTGGGGTTGAAGCACTGGGGAGGTTTTGGCGGGGAAAGCCTTGCTCTACAAGGCTGTCCTGGGATGGAGTGAGGAGTACATGATCTCGGGGGCCAGTAGTCACTGTGCGCCTTGGCTGTTCCCAGCCTGTTAGCCAGGCTACAACCAGGAAGGAGGAAACCATCCAAGTATATAAAGCAGAGGGACTGTTTTTATAGTGCTGTAAACACACACACACACACACACACACACACACACACACACACACACACTTAAAAAATATGTATGTATACATATGTTTTTATTTGATATTATTTTAGACTTTTGGCAAAGGTGCAA